GTTTACCTTCACGCCAGAGTGGTACCTATTTATCTACTTGCACTTTGACGTGCTTTTGAACTGCTGGGTTGGCAGGAGCAGGGACCGAGCAACGGGAGCTCACCCCATCGCAAGGATTCAAACCGCCGACCTTCTGATCGGCAAGTCCTAGGCTCTGTGATTTAACCCACAGCGCCATCCGTGTCCCTGCAGATCACATTTACACGCCTGTAAAAAGGTAAAGGGACCCCTGACCATTAGGTCCAGTCGCGGACGACTCTGGGGTTGCACTTTGCTGGCCCAGGGAGCCGGCATACAGCTTCCGGGTCATGTGGCCAGCAGGACTAAGCCTTACCGGAATAGTGGTGCTGGGGCAGTCTGCTCCCTCTACACTCCCGTTGCTCCACCAGTGAAGGTATCGTGGCGGCCCCCCGGTCACAAGCTGCGCACCCCCCCATGGGCCTGGCACCACGCCCCCACAGGCGGCATGTCACGCCCCCAGAACGCTTGCCATACCCTTGCAAGTGGCATACCACGCCCCCGGGGTGCACGCCACGCCTCCGCCTGCTCCCTGCCCCTGGTAGCAGAGCATGCAGCTTCGCCACTGCTTACCTTGAGTGTTCGTGGGCCCAGATTTCGAGATGAGCGCCTGAGTGCAGGGAAGTGAGGGAAGAAGATTCAGCTCCCCTCAACCACACACAGCTTTTTGCTGAGAAACCTAAGACTCTGTCTTGTGCTTGATCACTGAATTGGGCACACATGTAAACTGTGAACATGCAGCTACCCTGGTCACATCACAGCTGCCGCTGTGTTTCCTAAGACACTAACCTCTTCACCATAATGCATTGATTGGATGAAGGTCCCCCTGGTGTTCCCGGGATTCAATTCTAGAAACATGTATCTGAGACTATACCCAATCTGGCCTCTCTTCAGAATGGATTGCAATTGGCAGGCATCCTTGCTACCAGCCAGGTTTTGCACCATCGTCGCAGCTGTGTTTATCTAGAGATGCAAATACGATGACGGAGTTCAACCTGAGAGTTTTGATCTGATCTTCTTTTAGGACCAAGCAAGGGTTGATTTGGTCATGGAACCCAATCCGGAATGACTCTGGGCTGATGTGAACCTCTCTCCGGTACAGCGCTGCTCCAGCATCTCATCCTAATCTCTCGCTTATACATTTAAGCAAGGCTTAGGATTGTGCTGGCGGAGAGCAGGGCAATTTTGTATTTCCTTTCCCCATTTGCATTCTGTGCACACAAACGTGATAATTTCACATTTGGGAGGGGGGGAAAGTCAAATATAGTTTACTCATTGATATGAAAATTTCATGAACTCTACTTTCCCCAGTACTACATATTCAACGGAACTAATTACCAGAGCTATTTACATCCGAAAGATTTTCTGTGCATCCAGAAAGGACAGAAACATCCCTCCCCAAATGAAAATGTTGATTTTTAAAAAATCAGTGTTTTTGATCTCTTTAAACAGCATTACAATCTTGTGCATTCATAACCTCAGATATATGCAAATGTTTCTGTCGTAGGTTGGAAGTGGCAAGTAGGTCTTCCTTCTGTGTTGTGGCCGCGATCCGACACCTTTCTGTGTAGAGGTTTGTTCCCTCCGTTATTACGAACTTGTTGGTGGCAGCCGCGGGGTTAAAAATGAACGGCACTCAGCCTCAAAGGGGGCAAATGTAGTGCTTCCTTGGACCCTGCACAGAGTATCAAACAACCCTGATAGCACAGTTCACCTTCATTTCCCCTGAAAAAGCGACCAGTGCTGTCATAGCCATCCATCTGGTCCACTGGGAATAACTAGTGGGTGGAGAACCAATGATTTTTTAATGGTGTGTGCTTTTGACCTTTCGCTACACGGCTCTATTTAATTTCTCCCTATCATTACTGTTTTGGCACCATCCTTGCATTTCACATACATCTCCTACGTGGAACGTACTATCTCACTGCCTCCATGCAGCATTGGCAAGAGCTGATTCTGTGGGCTTGTGGAGTTCTACTGGCTGGAACAGAAACTAGTTTCTTCCCACAGAAATGAAAATATTGGGCATAAAAAAGAAACTAGTTTCCTCCTAAGAATTTGTAAATGGCGAATGTCAAATACAGTGTTACCTCGGGTTACAGACGCTTCAGGTTACAGACTCTGCTAACCCAGAAATAGTATCTCAAGTTAAGAACTTTACCTCAGGATGAGAACAGAAATCACATGGCGGCAGTCCCCATTAGCTAAAGTGGTACCTCAGGTTAAGAACAGTTTCAAGTTAAGAACGGACCTCCAGAACGAATTAAGTTCTTAACCCGAGGTACCACTGTATATATTTCTACCCAGGTCTCTCTGCCTGCTCAAATATTTGCGGAAGGTTTTGCATCATCGGTGCCGGGGATAATAGTGTTGGAAGGGAGGTGAGTCTAAACCCTTGTTCAATACAACCGCAGCATCGCTGACAGATGGCTGCCGGCAAAGGAGGGCCCACTACCCCCCAAGGCAATCTGTTCCACTGTCAAGCAGCTAATAATACATAAAATTATATTTTAGCATGTGAGGCAGTATTTGATAGCTGACATGCAATGGCATCAGATGTTTGACAGTACTTACATGCAATGGTGTATTAGTCATTTTCCATTTCTCAAGGAACTTTCCCACATAGACTTGTCATAAAAAGAGCCCCACTGGATCAGACCAAAAGTCAGTCTAGTCAAGCATCCCATTCTCATTGTGGCCGCGCTACAGGATGCCTGCAAGCAGAACAGGAGTGCAACAGCATTTTTTTCTTCCTGCACTCCCCCGGAACTGGTGTTTAAAGACATGTTGCTTCTGGTGCTGATCAGGACATGAATTAACCTCCCCGTGAGGTGGTACAGTGGTACCTCGGGTTAAGAACTTAATTCATTCTGGAGGTCCGTTCTTAACCTGAAACTGGTCTTAACCTGAGGTACCACTTTAGCTAATGGGGCCTCCCGCTGCCGCCGCGCGATTTCTGTTCTCATCCTGAGGTAAAGTTCTTAACCCGAGGTACTATTTCTGGGTTAATGGAGTCTGTAACCTGAAGCGTCTGTAACCCGAGGTAACACTGTACCTGCAAGCGGTTTGTTGAACAAAAGCTCCAGAGCACTTCGATCCACTGTAATTGCACAGACCTGAATTTCTGGGATGTGCTTGAATGCCTCCCACAAAATAGTGACAGTCCGGGTTTAAACATTAGGAGAAATCCTATGCTGCCCAGTAGCCTATCCTCCAATAGGACGAGGTGAAAAACTGGGATACACATCTTTCTCTCATGCAAGTCACATGACCTGTGCAAAATCGTGGCCCTGAAAGATGTGCTTTTTTGGGGTGTGTGTGAGACTGGGGCACGAGATTGGGGCGCCCCCAAATTGCTGCTGTGCTCTTGTGTGAAAAAAACGGGATGTCCTAGTTTTGAGGTATATGCAGTAGGCGTAACTCAAAGGTAGGCTTGCTCTGTAAGGCTAAGTTCTTACACAGTGCAGAGTACTAACCGCTATACTGTGCTTTACACATACTTATTTGGGAATAAGTCTACTAAATTCAGCAAGACTTCTTTCCTTTTTATAAACATACCTAGCCAAATACTTTGCAGAAAGGTGGGACACAAATTAGTCAATAATAGCAGTAATAATGCGGCCTAGGACCCATGTACCTATGGCACCACCTCTCCTGGTATGCCCCACAGCGGACCTTAAGGTCCACAAATGACAACACTTTGGAGGTCCCAAGTCACAAGGTGTATAGATTGGTCTCAACTAGGGCCAGGGCCTTTTCAGTACTGGCCCCGACTTGGTGGAACACTCTGTCACAAGAGACTAGGGCCCTACGGGACTTGACATCTTTCCGCAGGGCCTGCAAGACAGAGCTTGTTGGTCCCTTACCTTTCCCGCCCCGACCTGGCCACAGTGATCCATGCATCGGTCATCTCCAGGCTTGACTACTGTAATTCACTCTACGCGGGGCTGCCCTCGAAGCTACCCAGAAACTCCAGCAGGTGCAGAATGCTGCAGCGAGGCTCCTCATGGGGTCTCTGCCATGGGAGCATATTCACCCAGTGCTTTTCCAGCTGCACTGGCTCCCGGTGGAGTACAGGGTCAGATTTAAGGTGCTGCTTTTGACCTTTAAAGCCCTTCACGGCCTAGGACCCTTGTACCTATGGGACCGCCTCTCCCGGTATGCCCCACGGAGAGCCTCAAGGTGCATAAATAGCAACACCCTAGTAGTCCCGGGCCCTAAGGAAGTTAGATTGGCTTCAGCCAGAACCAGGGCCTTTTCAACTCTGGCTCCGGCCTGGTGGAATGCTCTGCCTCATGAGACCAGGGCCCTGCAGGATCTGATTTCTTTCCGCAGGGCCTGTAAGACAGAGTTGTTCCACCTGGCCTTTGGCTTGGAGCCATATTGATTCCCTCCCTCCCTTTCTTTCTTTTTTCCTCTCCTTCTCCTCCTGCGATGAGGCTACATTTTAATGTTGCCATATTTTAATGTTGTATTTTAATTTTGTTTTTAAGTTGTAATCATTCAATTTGTTTTTATTATTGCTTGTAAGCCGCTCTGAGCCCGGCCTTGGCTGGGGAGGGCGGGGTATAAATTATTATTATTATTATTATTATTATTATTATTATTATTATTATTATTAGAGCTGCTCTGCCAGGCCTTTGGCTTGGACTCAGTCTGACCCTTATGTTTCCCTCCCCTTATGGTTTTGATCTATGGGCTACTTTTAAAATGAGGCTGCATTTTAAATTGAATTTTAACCTGTATTTCAAATTGCTTTGGTTTTTTTCCCTATTATGTTTTTACTGTAATTTTACTGGTGTTAGCCACCCTGAGCCTGGCTCTGGCCGGGGAGGGTGGGGTATAAATAAAATTCATTATTATTATTATTATTATTATTATTAATCTCATTCTTCAGTTCGTACTGAATTGTGGCTTCAGGTATTGACCACGAGTTTAAATAGTTAAAAGGAACAAAGGAACAAAGCAAGCATGTCATGCCCGTCAGTCATCCTGGATAGCTCAGTTGGTTAGAGCATGGTTATGATAACCCCAAGGTTGCAGGTTTGATCCCTGTATGGGACACCTGCATATTCCTGCATTGCAAGGGGGTCAGACTAGATGATCCTCAGGGTCCCTTCCAACTTTACGATTCTGTGATCTTATTTTTGTATCTGAATATTGTACTATGTCCATCTTACATAAACTAAAAAGTGAAAACCCCCTTTTCAGAGAAGTGAGAAGCTTCGATTGTGATTTATAAAACAAGAACGGCGAGAGGCAGTGTCAAAAGCTGTGATTCTAAGCGCGGCTAATATGGTGGTTAATTTTGCTGCAATCAAGTACTGGCTTTAGGAATGAGATTTCAAGGGCCTAAATTTAGAAATCTGGACCTAAATATTGGCCTAAGTCTCTTACCTGGGACTGTGCCAAAGGGAAATGTACTCAGCAAAAGAGGGACTGGAATAATTGTATATTCTATTTGATTGAATTTCGGTTAATAATAATTTAGAATTCACTGACATATTTTCAAGGATATATCTTCAGCGATCAGATATGAAACAAACCACTTGGGAAGATTTTGAGACTTTTTAATTTTTTTAAAAAGGTAAAATTGCACATGGGCTCTCTTAAAAAAAAATTTTTTTTCCAAACCAAACTGCTTCTTCTATTACGGAAACAAATTCTGACTAGTTATTACATTTGACAAAAAATGGCCTTTGTGAAGGCACAATATGTTGTCATTGAAATTGTGCAAATGCAGCACTCCCATTGACCAGATATAGCATAATGATTCCTACACAAAGGATGAAATGGAGAATTTGAGCCATTCATGCAAGCGACCGTCATTGATATCAATATGAAGTTGGCATATGGACTGAAAATAGTTATAAGGCCAAGCAGATGTGTACAGTTTAAAGGGGCTCACAGCATGGAATTATGCTTTATTTTTGGTTGCTAGTTCGGTTTGTTTTTAAATGCCATCTTGCAGAAATGTATGGGCATTGATAATAGCCTATCTAAGATGACATCATGGACTCGGGGGGGGGGTAAAAACAATGAAGAGCCTTGCTTTTTCAGTGTTATTGCAGCGAGTCTTGAAGCCCGATCCTGTAAATAAATAATAATTAAAAAATAACTCATTATTTATACCCCGCCTATCTGGCTGGGGTTCCTCAGCCACTCTGGACGGCTTCCAACAAAACATTAAAATACAATAACCTATTAAACATTAAAAGCTTCCCTAAACAGGGCTGCCTTCAGATGTCTTCTAAAAGTTTGGTAGTTATCTTTCTCTTTGACAACTAGTGGGAGGGCGTTCCACAGGGCGGGTGCCACTGGATTTTAAAACTGGATTTTAGCTGCTGCTCCACAAACAGTAGCTGCTGCCTTAATTAAGCAACCCATGGAAAGAGACTATAAGGCTCTCCCAGTACAGTGGTGCCCCGCAAGACAAATGCCTCGCAAGACGGAAAACTCGCTGGACGAAAGGGTTTTCCGTTTTTTGAGCTGCTTCGCAAGACGAATTTCCCTATGGGCTTGCTTCGCAAGACGAAAACGTCTTGCAAGTTTGTTTCCTTTTTCTTAACACCGTTAATACAGTTGCGACTTGACTTTGAGGAGCAACTCATAGAACGCAGTGTACATAGTAGCCTTTTTTGAGGTTTTTAAAGACTTTGGTGATTTTTGAAGCTTTTCCAAAACTTCTTTTGCAGCCATTTGGTAAGTTAAGCTTTTAAAACTTTTTGGGGGGGTTTGGATTTTGGGTTGGGGTGTTTGGATTTCAAGGACTTGATGTTGGGGAGGGGTTTGCAAGAATCTGGAAGCTTGTGTTTTTTCCCCCTGCATTTTTATGATTTTCTGTGACCATTGGGCCACTCTGCTGTTTTTTTAAAAAAATTCTGGATTTGAATTTCTGTGTGCTGGGTGGCTGGGGGAACAGTTGGGGAGGGGTATGCAAGAATCTGGAAGCTTGTGGGGTTTTTTCTGCATTTTTATGATTTTCTGTGACCATTGGGCAACTCTGCTGTTTTTTAAAAAAAATTCTGGGTTTGAATTTTGAAATGCTCTTTACAGTATGTGTGACTTTAAAGAGCACTTAATAAACTCGTGTAGTACCAAATTTGGCTTTGTTTGGACTTTTTTTGACCATAGGAACGCATTAATTGATTTTCAATGCATTCCTATGGGATTTCGTGCTTCGCAAGACGAAAAATTCGCTAGACAAAAAAATTCGCGGAACAAATTAATTTCGTCTTGCGAGGCACCACTGTATATTCTGTTCACACCCATTAATTGCCTTGTGCTTGACCAGATATTGTAGCGGAACCCTAAACACTGTAGTTTGCAGATGACCAACACTCTGATTTTACTGAGATAATTTAGCAGGATGACGCGGGTGACGCTGTGGGTTAAACCACAGAGCCTAGGACTTGCCGATCAGAAGGTCGGCAGTTCTAATCCCCACGATGGGGTGAGCTCCCGTTGCTCGGTCCCTGCTCCTGCCAACCTAGCAGTTCGAAAGCGCATCAAAGTGCAAGTAGATAAATAGGTATCGCTCCGGTGGGAAGGTAAACGGCGTTTCTGTGCGCTGCTCTGGTTCGCCAGAAGCGGCTTAGTCATGCTGGCCACATGACCCGGAAGCTGAACGCCGGCTCCCTCGGCCAATAAAGCAAGATGAGCGCCACAACCCCAGTCGGTCACGACTGGACCTAATGGTCAGGGGTCCCTTTACCTTTTACTTCTAAACGCAGGAAGCAGATCAACCCAGCAACACTTGGGTAGTGAGTGGGTGGTTGTGAGTGAAATGTTTGTTTTCTTGGGACATTTCACATTTCCATGCATTGCTCTGATATGCAGATATGCAGAAACTAGCCAGCAAGCTTCAGGTAGGTAGCTGTGTTGGTCTGATGCAGTATGTATATAATTGTCCAGTAGCACCTTAGAGACCAACTAAGTTTGTTCTTGGTATAAGCTTCCGTGTGCATGGTATCTGAAGAAGTGTGCATGCACACGAAAGCTTATACCAAGAACAAACTTAGTTGGTCTCTAAGGTGCTACTGGACAATTTATTTTTTTTATATATATTTAGCCAGCAAGCTGTAAATGATATACATTCAGGAAAATTGCCCTATTTTGCTTGCTGCGTGCACAAATGCACTACCAAGACTGGCATGGAAGACATTGCTACTCTGTCACATCAAATAGCAGCTGCAGCTCTAAATAAAAACAATTCCCCCATTTAAATTGGCTTGGCTTCTCACTTGGAATCTTATGATTAGGGGGATGGCAACTTCCTGTTAGAGGTTACTAGCTGCCTCATCCTGCCCAAACACAATTCCCAAAACAACTTCGGAAAGAGAATTAAACAAGTTTAACAACAACAACAGCAGCAGCAGCAGCAGCAGCAGCAACAACAACAACTTATTAATTATACCCCACCCATCTCGCTGGGTTTCCCCAGCCACTCTGGGCAGCTCCTAACAGAATATTAAAATCACGAAAAAACATCAAACATTAAAAACTTCCCTAAGCAGGGCTGCCTTCAGATGTCTTCTAAAAGTCAGATAGTTGTTTATTTCCTTGACATCTGATGGGAGGGCATTCCATGGGGCCACTACTGAGAAGGCCCTCTGCTTGGTTCCCTGTGAGCTACTTGGAAGGCCTGAATATTTCTCGCTGTCCAATTTCTGTCACCATTCACCGAACTTTCCGGTCACACCTTGTATATCCTCCTGTAAAAGAATCCAGGATGCAGCAATCTATGGATAACTGGATGCACGTTTCCTACTAACTCTTGCCAAATGTGTTCCTACCCAGAGGGTATGCCGGTCTATTTCTGTAGATGGTATGGCCCAACATTTTCCCATACCCTCCTGTGTTATCTGGAATCTAGGACCAGACTACTCACAAATGAATGAGGAAGGCAGCTCCTGTTCACATCCAAGTCGCAACCAGGGGGGAAGATTTGCCACACGTTCTATAATCTGTATTGTTAAGAGATGTCAAGCAGTTCAACTCCATAGAATTTCACTGAATGAAATCTTGTATTGAATAAAAAAATTATTGTAGATCTACAGTATATAATCCATTATTTTAAAAGTTTTGATCTGGCAGCAGTCCTAGCCTAAGAACCATTATATTACCTCAGAAAAGAGGAGAGCCCCAAAGTTTGCTTTAAAATAGCAAATTGACTGGAGGATCATTATCTCTAGCTGGGATAGAGGTTTTAGGGTTAAAATGAGAGAGATTTGGGTTTTGTTTTTTTTAAACAGACGTAATACTGTTTGAGGAAAAACTTTACTACGTTTTGGGGGGCAGTGAGGGACATTTATATTACTGTGGCTTTCTGGACCTGTAGGCAGGAGAAGGGCTTTCCCAAATATGCCTTTATGGTTTGAGAGGCTGAAATAGATAGGCTGAATTGTATTATTTAGGTGTATGCACAACTTGTAGAGCAGGAATTGCCATCATTGCTCCTGTGGTCTCAGTGATGCCCTTAGAGTATTCCCCTGGTACCCACAAAGACTCTTAGCCCTGCCCCTTGCCCCCTTGGTCATGAGGTGGTGAAGGTGGTTAACTTTTGTATTGTGAAAAGTACATCGACTGGAAGGAGGAAGGTGGAAGGGTCTAGGATCGTAAACACAATTGTCCTGATTCATCAAAAGAGGTCTGTGTGTGCAAGCAGCTTTCTGCGTGCGATGCTAGATTCATATCTCTGTGTGTGCATTATGATAATCATCAACATATACCCCTCAACATTTATCCGATGAAAATAGGGACCTCCCATTCCATAATGATAGGGCTGCCATACGCCTGGGTTTTCCTGGATACATCTGGGAATCGCTCAGCGAAATGGTGTCCGGGAGGTTTTTGCTGAATCTGCAAAATGTCCAGGAAGACCCGGACATATGGCAAGTAGGGTTGATTTTTTAATTTTAAAAAATTCTTTAAAAATCAAAGAAAAGCCCCCCAAAAAAATGTTTTTTGGGGGAAATGTTCCCAACTTCAAACCCCCCCCTTCAAACTTTGTCTGGATTTTCACTTTTAGGAATATGGCAACCCTAATCATGGAAATTTTACTA